GGATTCTCTATCGGTCCCTCCCTTACTTCTAGCTGGCAACCCGGATAAGTCAGTCTGCCCAGGCTTTAGGTGCCTAAAGAACACCCTCCCATTGGTCCATACTTTTGGAGCATATGCCCTTTTCCTCCAGTGCGACAATCCGGCGGTTTGGCTGGTATGTTCTCCGCCATAGGACCTGGTCGCTTGGTTCTCCAATTTCGGGCCCCGGTTCGAATTCAACCCTTCTGTGGTACTATCGAAGATCATTGCTACATCCTAACTCAGGTCTTGCCAAACAGGTTTTTGGTTATTCTGGTTCCTCAGATTTATTGTGCTGAAGCTCCCATTACTAGATAGTGTGACTGAGATTACAGATTAAAATCCAACCAATAATCGACAACTGTTAACCGTACACAGATCTATTTTTCAAAATCGTCATCCATGGAATTCGAACTCTAGACCTGCCGCTTGGAAAGGTGACAACTAACCAACTACACTAAGTTACCACACCTCATAATTTCTAAAATTATATGAAATATAATTTACTAAAATCTATATAAAGTTGCATATACTGCAGAATTTTAAATTCGTAATATAACCTTATATTTAGATTATAATAGTAACTTAGAAGATACAAATAAAATAATGGCTGAAAAATTTACCTCTACATTACGGATTATTAAAGATGTTCCTACCCGTTGGAACTCCAAATATCGATCATAGAAAAGATTGATTGAATTATGTCAGGCGATTAAATGGCTTTCAGTAATATTATCTTTTAAAGAAGATCTAGATTCACGAAGAGATAATAAAAAACTACAAAACTTAATATTACATGATAATGAGTAGGAGCTTGTTCAAAAATTAATTGAGTTGTTAGAACCTTTTAATAGTGCTACAGAATATTTCAGTGGCAGGCGATATCCTACTATATTATTTATTTACCCTTTAATGGAGGTGATGAAATTTAAGTATGCACCAAGTTTTGATAAAGATATCTATAATAATAATGAGGGTATAAACATTTTTTTTTGTTAAACAAATTGTGAATTTGATTGAATTAAAACTAATAATAATAGTAATCTTAAATAGATTTTCAAGAAATATCTAATTTTGATTCAAAATCAGAATTATCTGAAGAAGAAAATGATGTATTCTTTAATATTCAAGAAAGTCAATTTGATCCTAAAACAATTATAAAAGAGATAAAAAATATTATTTATAACTCACTTTTTGAATATTGGGACTACATGTCACAAATTTGCCTTCTTTTAATACTATTGGACTCTCAACTAAGAAAAATAACCTTTGCAAGTGACAAAGTTTGTAATCATACTATTGAAAAATATCAGTTTTAGCTTTACCAATTGATGCCACTATTAGAAGAACTACCTATTTCATCCAACCCAACAAATATTTCTTCCAACAACATGTTTAAAGACATAGTATTTGGTGAATCTAAAAAGTCACAAGATTCTATAAATGAATTAGATTATTACCTTGATTTCAGACAGACTTCTTTGGTTTTTAGTAATTCAGATCCCCTTTTATGGTGGAAAAAGCAACAATCTATATTCCTATACCTTTTCAAACTAGTCCAAAAATATCTTGCTATTCCTGCTACTTCAGCTCCCAGTGAACGTATTTTCTTTGATACTGAAAACCATATTACCCCTTGGTATTCCAACTTAAAACCAAAATTGGTTTCTCGAATACTATTCCTGAAAAGGAATAATAAATTCATTAACATGTTTCTTAATTCTAATTTGTATAAAAAAAAAATTAAATTAGATTTTTTAAAGAAATACTTATTATACAAGATTTTACTTGTCTATAATATTTTAATATTCGGGTTTAACTAAAAAACATTACAAAATGTATATGATTTATATAACGTAGTTGTCTTTGTAACTTTGATTTGTATTGCAAAAATAGGCATTTGAGTAAAGTTCGTAGTTAAAACTAGACAACTCAAATATTAAAGTAAAAAAAGAATTGTAAAAAAAGATTTTTTTTGCTATCTGTTATATATATAACTATTTTTATAATTGGTTAACCAGATAACCAATTACGTCAGATTAACTGGCTACCTGACTATCAACCGACTATATCGGATTAACTGATTAAGCATTTTATTTAATTAGTACTGCTCACTTCACCGATAATCATTTCACCGAAAGTTTACTTAGCCGACATTACATAGGATTAGGATTAGTATTTTATTAGTTGCAAGTATATATTTTTCATAAATTGTCACTTGGTGTGATGTCAGCTAAGTGAGTTGTCAATGAAATGATTGTTGGTGAAGTAAGACAGATCCGTTCAAAACACTACTATAGGTAAATTGATAAAGCTTGCCTTATCCCTTAAACTGTAGGCAATTCCAGACAAATTTGCCCGGAAAATTGCTATAAATTTGCTTATGATTTACTTTTTTTAAAATTTAAAATATTTAAATAAAAATTTTTTGATTATATTTGAAAATAAGGATTATATTCCAGTAGTATTTAATTTTATATTATAAGAAAAAAAGTTTGGGT